AAATAGGGGCACCTGGGTGTCTCAGTCAGTTAAGCATCCAGCTTCAGCTCAGGTCATGATCTATTGGTTCATGAGTTCCAGTCACACAGTGGGATCTCTGCTGTCAGCATGGAGATAGCTTTGGATCTTCTGCCTCCCTTTCTCTGCCCCTCCCCTGCTCTCTCCTCTCTCAAAAATAAACATTTAAAAAATAAATAAGTAAAAACAAAAAAGCCCAGGTATGGCGGCAGCAAATGTTGAAAAGTATAAGTAGACTTATTTTTTAAAATGGCTCTGTTGATGTAATGATATACTCTATTTTTATGGATTTCCTATACAGTTTATTCTTTCTAGCAATTCTCTTTTGCTCTAGTTTTTCATTATTTTCTTTGGAAGGAGGGACTCATAAGACTATTGTTATAATTAACCAAATGAAAAAATTTTCATTTATCAAACGTTTACTGAGTACTTATTATGAATCAGGTGCTGTGCTAAGTGTAAGGTGTGGAATGGGGAACAAAACTGTCACTTTAAAAAACAAAGTGTTGGTGTTTAAACAAATCGTCATTAAGCCAGGCCCTTATTCATATCATTATAAGGTCCTTATTCATATCATAGATTATATATGTGGTGCTATAGAGAACGTTCCTTTCAGAATAGTTTGGGAAACCTATAATACATTAACCTTGTCCTTCAGCTCAAGAGTTTACTATAGCTTGTTATTATAAGACAACTTATTTAATAGAATATCTTTTTTAATTTAAAAAACTTTTAACAATTATGTATTTTTGAGAGACAGAAGGAGACAGAGCATAAGCAGGCGAGGGCAGAGAGAGAGGGAGACACAGAATGTGAGGCAGGCTCCAGGCTCCGAGCTCTCAGCACTGAGCCTGATGTGGGGCTTGAACTCAATAGCTGTGAGATCAAGAGCTGAGCCAAAGTCAGATGCTTAATTGACTGAGCCACCCAGGTGACTCTATTTACTAGAATATCTTATTCAGATTTGAAAATATTCTCAATTTTGCTTTCTTTTTTTAAATAATTTATTTTTAAGTAAGCTCTACATCCAGTGTGGGGCTCAAATTTACAATCTCGAGATCAGGAATTGCATGCTCTACCAACTGAGCCAACCAGGTGCCCTTCAAATTTGCTTTCTAATCGGTGCTTCTTAGAATAATCCCAGGGGTGCCTGGGTGGCTCAGTCAGTTAAGCGTCAGACTTAGGCTCAGGTCATGATCTCACTCTCTACGAGTTCGAGCCCCGCATTGGGCTCTGTGCTGACAGCTCAGAGCCTGACGCCTGCTTAGGATTCTGTGTCTCCCTCTCTCTCTGCCCCTCCCCTGCTCATGCTCTGTCTCTCTCTCTCGCTCTCAAAAATACATAAACATTAAAAAATTTAAAAAAAAGAATCCCAGAGATAGGTTCAAATGTGCTAGTTTTCCATACATATAAATAAAATTGAAGTCATAGCTATGTGACTGGAATTTAACACATATGAATTATTGCTTTTATTTAATAACTTTGGGTATTGCAATACTAAGTTAAACAAATTGTTTTTAAGGCAATATTATTACAATTACAGTTGATAAGAATTATCTAGTGATAACAATGTAGAAGTATCCTTTAGTGTTTATTTTTAATTGTCTAAAGTACATTTCCCCCCCAAAAACAATAATAATTCAAAAGGAAGGAAAAATCCTTACTGACTTATAAAAGCTTGAAAATCCGATGTTTTTATTTCTATTTAAAAATACATTTAGAGATTCTTTTTTGTAAAATAATGTGGAAGCCAAGAAACTCAGTAAAACAGAGATCCAGAAAACATTTTCCCATTAACTTTCCACTTCTAGGCTGCATCAGTTATGGACATTGAAAAAAAAATTTTTAACTTTTCTTAATAGTTTTCCCTCATTGCACATTTTGCTTTCGAGTGTGAAAAATGAATGCCCTGAAATCATGGAGCAAATTCTTTTTTATGCTTTTCTCAGATTCTGTAATTTGACCTCTGTTGGCTTTTTGAGAGTTACTCAGTATGAGTCACCCACTGCTGACTTTGTTATTGAAAAAACGAATACTTAGTGTTTTCTACTTTTTTGGAAAGAGGGTAAGCACTATTCAGCTTATAGACCCTAAAGCCTTGTACTTAAAGTAATCCTGCATAAGCAATACCCCTAATCCCCAATAGTCCACCCTACTTCTAAAATATTCTTGAAACGACATGGTATAAAATAGTCATACATGCCAGAGTTGGTGTGTTGCTTCCGTGGTTGTGTAAAAATGAGTGTGTGTGTTGGGGGGGGACTGGTTTTCAAGAGGCACAATGCGTAGAAATTAACAAAATGGCTTAAAGCTGCTCTGCAAACAAACAAAGAACCAGGGCATTCCCCCCTCAACTTAACAAAGATATGAGGTGACACAGCAATATTTGCCATCTGGAAACAGAAGGAAAAAGATTCTTAGCCCTTTCTGGATCATTCTTCCACTACAGATTACTGTACCTGCCTGCTGTTCACGTGGGCATTTTCTCCCACCACAGAGGCCAAGAAGCTCATTCATCTTTATCTTCATGGATCAGTCAGATCCACGAGAGTCTTATTCACGTGGTTTTTGATCCTAAAATTCCTAATTTTCTCAAACTTGTTGACTCTAAAATAACTTGCACTACAGGACTTAACTATAGATTTGTTCTCCTTACTGAGTAATACATGTATTTTAATTCGTGGATTTCTTTATTCATTCATTCTTGGGCCCTTGCACACAAAGCTTTTGTGGCATGATACACACATTTTAACTACTTATCAGAGTGTCTTCACTTACTACTTCTTTTGATGTAGCATCGCTATACATCCAGTAACAATATTACATTGCAAGCAAGGGAAAGCAGTAAATAGAACTAAGGGAAGGAAGGATCTGGCTGTCAGTGTAAATGTAAATAGCAGCTGTTCCATTCAAACTGTTTTTAAAACTACCACACGGTGAGAGCTTTGCATATAATGAGCCAGCATCAGGTTTTAGCATAAAATTGAAGAGACATGCTGCCACCCTCCTCTTTGTACTGTTTTACTTCTCCCACTACTGCACAGGCAGTGGGGGACCAATATATATTGTATATCATAGTGTCTGTGAGAATGTTATCTAAATATCTCTTGTGGTAATATCGCAATATGCAGATGTCTCTGTATATGTAACTCAACATACTGTACAAAGATGACACCGAATGGGTTATTGTGTTCGTGGCGAGATGCTTTTAAGTCCTAATATCACCCAAATCTATCCTTTGTCATGTGCTGCTGCCACTGTTTCATCAGGCTTTCAAACTTTACACCTCAAATTTGAAATGTCTTGAATTATCTCCCTTCTGTCATTTTTCAGCAAAAGTGACCATCCTATGGCATTACTATATCCCTAAAAAGAGGGGGAAAAAAACTTGGTGCCACTGTTCTGCCAAATAGGCACACATTTTCTTTCCTAATCAGTTAGCGTGATAGGCCGCTGGTAATCAGCACTTTAAAAATATTGCTTGTACCTTGCAGCTTTTTCTGAAACTGTGACACTTCACTAACTAGCACTATCCAGACTAATCAGTAAAGAGACCCTTTCCATTTAGTTATATCATCTTCCTGTTTAGAACAGAGGGAAAACAATGATGTTTTCCTATTGTGTGAATATAAAAATCTTAACTAAAAACTTGCCACTGCTTTGAAACAGAAGGTGTGTGTGTGTGTGTGTGTGTGTGTGTGTGTGTGCGCGCGTGCGCGCACGCGCACGCGTGCATGCAGGGGTGAAAGTCATGATCGATGATTCACAAAACATCATCTAATCTTAATCTCTATGATTACCACCTTCTCCTCCTTTGAACTTCTATAAAATATTTTATCTGTAACACTCATTTGATACTTGCAGTACCATAGCTTGTGTTATATATAATATCGTTGTAATGTCAGTAAATATGAACAGATTATAGTGTTTATATAGGTTGCACTATAAATTATAAAATGCTATTCAGGTGTTTTTGCTACTATTACTGGGACAATTGCCATCCTCCTAGGAACAAGGACGGCCCTTTCGATATGAAAGGTATGTATTTCGATATGTATTACACCTACATAGCACTGCACCTTAAACAAAATATGTGCTCAGTATATGTGCAATGAAAGCTCACTTTTTTTCTTTTTTGTATCTTTTTTTAAATTTTAATGCTCAGGTAAAATTGTCTTGAGGCTTGAAACTACTATTGTTTTCAAGGCTGAAATACCTTGCCAAACCTTCCTTTGCTGATAAACCATTTTTACCTCATTTCTCAAAAATTCACTCAGGTTTAAGATTTTTTGTGAAAGACCGAAAGTTATTTCTGATTGTATTATACTTTAAAAGGATTGAATTTTTAACAATGTGCTTAAGCAGCATTGTGCACTGTGCTAAAAGGTACTGAAGGCTGCCGGAGAGCCCGACAGTGCGGGTCGTATAATCACATAATATAGTGTCCTTGGCAACATCGTGGTAGGAAATTGATGAAAATCCATTTATTACCCCCTTCCCAAAGCGTTTCAGCTTCTTTGAAAAGTTACGTGGACCCTTTGCCAATATTTTGATAGATCTCATGGGAAAGATAACTGAATATTTCAGATATGCTAAGAATAGATGGGAGGGTGAGCAACAACAGCATGGCAAGCCCAAGGAGCTTTTTCCTGAGGCCATTAACGTTTAGGATCTGAGAAGCCAACCTGGTCTACTGGCCAGAGCCTCTAGGGAAGTCAAAACTCCTAAACCATGGTTCTGGTTTCCCCCTTTAGTTTTTCACATACGCTTGTCTGGTAAGTAGCTCCTATTTCTCACTTTCTCTTCATCCCACTCCATCCCCACCCCACCCCCAAGAGTCCTTTCCCTAGGATTGTTTAGAATAAATAGGAACGGTGATCTATCAGGCCACAACCAGCAATGAGGCTTGAGGAAAATATAAAGTGTTACTCTTACTGAGTTTAGAGATTTGTGAAAAACTGACTTTTATTTTCTGCCAACAGGGGAAGCTTTACACTTGGCTCGGGATTTTGGCTACACTTGTGAAACAGAGTTTCCAGCCAAAGCTGTAGGAGAGCATCTTGCCAGACAACATATGGAACAGAAAGAACAGACAGCAAGAAAAAAGATGATCCTAGCGACCAAGTAAGCAGAATGGGAAGTCTCTATGTGCCTTCTCTCTCCGTTTTTCCATTTTCTTTGAATGAGAGAAACAGTCTAGTATGTACCAGTTCTTTACGACAGGGGGTCTCACACTTCGGTAGCTAGATGTGTTATACAGGACACCCCCTACCCCCGGCCTTGCGCCCATAGCAAGACTTACCAACTGCCTGGGCTATCATTGACACTGAAGTGTTTTGAAAACCTCTCCAGAATATGCAGGAATTCCTAGGAGAAAAGTATGTTTAGGAAATGTAGATTCCAGGCAAATATGCCATTAGCTGCTATGTAATTTGGTCTAAACCACTTACTGCGCCTTAATATACACGGGGGTGGGGGGTGGAAGATTTTCAAACAGTATGAATGTTTGGAGAACATGACAAAAGAGGATTCAATGTGTGATGATCAGATTTTAGAACTAATAGTTCCAGATGGGCTAAATTATTTCTAAATTAGTCTCTTATTTGGGGGCAAACTTGTATTTTTTTTTTTTTTTAGTATTTATTTATTTTGAGAGAGAAAGTACCTGTACTTGTGTGCATGTAGGAGAGGGGCAGAGAAAGGGAGAAAGAGAATCCCAAGCAGGTTCCCACTGTCAGCACAAAGCCCAGTGCAGGGCTTGATCTCAGAACTGTCAGATCATGACCTGAGCCAAAATCAAGAGTCCAACGCTTAACAGACTGAGCCATGTAGGTGCCCCCGGGCAAAACTATTAAAGAGATAGTATGAGATAGACCGTGTAAAAGACGTTGCTTCTTCGAAACTGATGAAAAATGACTTCCCAACACATTGGCTAAAATTTAAATGGGCTCAAAATGCATAAAACCCACACTAAATATTTCTTCTTCTATCAACTTCTAATGTCACACGGTTATTTTTTTTTCCCTCTTACAAGCTTAAGGGTTTAAATGGGATACCTGCCACCCAACAGGTTTGCCCAAAATACTTGAGTCCCTTTTTAGAGATTTGTGCTGCTTGTGGCTGGCACTGTTTGGGTTTAGGATATATTTGTGTCCTGCTCCTCTGAGAGTAGCTTAGATGATTCATCTTGCCCCAAAGAGAAGGAAAACAAAAGGTGGTGGCAAAGGAGAAAAAAGATAAAACAAGGAAAGGAAGGGGAAGGGAATAGCAGAGAAAGAAAAATGAAGATCAAGAGTTAGAGAAAGAAAATTATAAGGCAGGTGTAAAATGTGGACTTAAGATTTGGGGAAAACCTTGTTCTTTGCAATCTCCTGAAAACTTGGTGGAAAGACCTGGATCTGGATTATTTTGTGTGGCAGATCTCCTGGGGGATATTTACTTCTGCCTTGCTTCTACTCTTGCCTTCTTCCATGGGAAGACCCAAAAGGGTTTTCATCAGTAAGGTTTCAGTTTCTCCAGAAGGAACCGAAAGTGTATGTAGTCAGTTTGAATCCTTGATATAATCTTGGGAGAAATACAAAGACGTGTTACCGATCAAGAAAAGAATGCAATGCTAGGAGTCAGGTAGTGTCCTGCAGGTGTTCCCAATGCATCATATCATTCGAGCTGGCAGGATTATACTGATTTTCCCAATATGTGTACCCACGTGACACCTCTGAATAACACTGATATCCCCACATACAAATTATCCAAGAGAAAACACCCTTATATATATATATATATATTTAAAGATGTTTATTTTTTAAAGATTGCAACTGGGGGGAGCAGAAAGAGAGGGACAGAGGATGGGAAGTGGGCTCCATGCTACAGGCTGACTGCGGCCTGATGTGGGGCTTGAACTCACAAACCGCGAGATCATGACCTGAGCCGAAGTGGGACACTCAATCGACTGAGCCACCCAGGTGCCCCAACACCTTTATATTTTCTACCTCAAAATTAGTTGATTAGGTTTCATCAGGCGAATTTTTTTTAATGTTTATTTATTTGAGAGAGAGAGAATGAGAGTGGGGATGGGGCAGAGAGAGAGGGGGAACAGAGACTCTGAAGTGGGCTCTGTGCTGACAGCAAAGAGCTCAATGTTGGGTTCGAACTCACAAACCATGAGATCTTGACCTGAGTCCAAGTCAGACACTTAACAGACTGAGCCACCCAAGCACCCCTCATCATATATATTCTAAGACCTTCACTCCCTAACCTGGAGAAATCCTTCTTCTTCTTTTTCTTTTTTTAAACATTTTTATTTCTGTTTGAGAGACAGAGAGAGACAGAGCACAAGTGGATGAGGGACAGAGAGAGAGGGAGACACAGAATTGGAAGCAGGGTCCCCTCGAACCCACGAACCCTGAGATTATGACCTGAGTTGGATGCTTAACCAAATGAGCGCCCCAGGCACCCCAAGAGAAATCCTTCTCCTTGTCCTCATTCCCCCAAGAATGGTTCCATAGCTGCCCACCCCTACCACCTGCAGCAATGCCACCATTAACATTTGAAATATAAGTTCTCGTTTTCTTGAGAGTTCCCATAACTCTGTTTAAATGTTTGTGCATTCAAACCAATGTGGAGATTTCATTTTCACAGAAGTTCAGTGTTAGAGGCTCTTGTGGGGATTAGGAGAAGTACTTTCATATTTGTTAAAGTAATGCTGAGATGTCTATTTTAGAGTAGTGGATTCTTTTTTTATGATTTTTGGTTTCATACAATATTGCAAAAACATGTACTTTCCTTTGACCCTTCTGCCCATAGCTGGACATTTGCAAACCATTAAATATCAAGCAAGAATTGAGTTCAGTAATTCCAATTACCTTATTTTATGTAAGTGTAAAGAGGCCATAAGCATCTAGAAATTAGGAGATAGACTGTATAATTTTTTTGTCTTTTTGGTTGTTTATATCCATCTCAACTTCCTATTAGACAATGTGAAATGAGAATTAAAGAATCAGAGAAATGCAGTCATAGCAAGCGTACACAAAACAAGTAGTCATCAATAGAAGCAGGTTAGTTAAGGGATGTGTAGGAATAACATGCCTTTCCTGCAATGCATGGAATTGTTCTGTGTTCTGAGCAGTTTCTCATTTTCCAAAGGTAACTCATTGGACATTTTCAATTAAAATGCTCAATGTTGAAATGCTCAACTACATGGACGTTCATTACATTCTAGTTAACTCACCTTTGTTCACAAGACCATGACAACTGCATCAAAAATACATATGAAATTCAAAATATTCAGATAAGAGATCAATAGCTGATCTGCATTGTTGGATTGGCTTATATGTTTCTTTTTTACTTCTATGAATGAACAAATTCAGTCACATTTAATTATGTTGCCAACTGTACAGTTATATGAAGGGCCCACTGACTAACGGTCTAGTCTCCTAATTCCTCTTAATTTCTGTGTTTTGTTGATTAGCCAAATATTTTGGTGTAATTAGACAATTATATATAAGAGGGGTAGAAACTGAATTAGACAATTTTTTAATTCAAAAATGTACCGGAAAAAATATTTGATTCATGGAAAAACACAATTTAAACTTCTTCACTGAATTTATAACTAAATATGCTTAACATTTGATCTGCATTAGGGTAAAGCAGAATTGTTAACAAGTTTTAATTGTTACCATCACAATAGTCGTCAAAAGGAGAAACATAGAACTTGAAATTCAGACATCAACTTAAAAATTATGTCCTTAAGGACAGTGACGTAAGTGATAAAGTTAGAATTTATGATTCACCAAAGATCATCTTGTGTTACATAATTCATAATGTGACATTTTGTTTTGAGAAGTATTTCTTATTGTAGCTTTATAAATAAAATTTTAAATAAGGATGAAACTAGTCATAAAAATAATAGCCCCATAACTGTCATAATGAGATGATGATCATAATTGCCTAAGGGGGGTCTACAAAATTGTCATCTGTCTTTAAGTCGAGAAGCTGTCCTAAGTCAGTGCGTTAAACAGCAGAATCACATACCAGAGGTTGAGAATTCTGGAACTTCTCCCGATACAGCTTCCTGTGTGGCGTAGCTGAATTGCTCAGCATGAGTTAAATTTTTCCACCCTCTGCCTCTTCATTTCTTCATCGACTTTCAGTTTATTGTAATTTGCTGTAATGTTTCTATGGTAAGGAAGTTAATTTACCAACTTATAAATTAATTTATTCAATTATCCAAATAATTCCTAAATCCTACCATAAGAACTAAAGTAATGTTTCAACCTTTATTTTAGTTTTTAAATATAATTTAATCTGATATAAAATTAAATACTAATCTTTAAACAATTCCAGTATTTTTTTGTAGTAATGGATCATACTGATCATCTACCACATAGTAATTTCCATTGCCGGTCTATGAAATGATAGCATGAGTCTGCATTTAAAATTTTAGTTAGAAATTTCCTAAAAATAAAGCTAATACAAAGCATAACAGATCATGATGCCCCACTAAATGGCATCATTTGATGCCACCGACAGGCATCAAATACTTAGTCTAAATTGCTACTCATCCATTTGAACATAAGCAATACTCTTGACAGTCAGTCAACTAGGTCTAACTCAGAACAGAAAAAGGGAGAAGTTCAGATCAAGTATTCTCAATGAATGTATATGCATGCAATTGTTAAAAGCATGCATTTAGATGATGTATCGCAGAGATTCAACTAAAACATTTGCTGGAGGATATGGAGGATCTTGTTTAATTTAGAGCAAATAAGAGCTAGCTCTCTTTTTTGTTTGTTTTTCCTCTCCTTATGACCCCTTTTACTTTCAGCTGTGTTCAAAATGAAAAAGGCAAATTCTATGAAATAACAAAATATGAAAATAATGCTGGCAATAAACCTGAGGATTATTGTTCATAAAAAAAAATCACAAATGATCTTTAGAAAAAATTTTAGGCATCTAATAATAAAACTCCACTGGTTACAAGACATTTTATCACTTTTTGGTAGTTATTTGTTCATGACACAAATGCTTTGGTGAGGAATTATTGGCTGGGTCCATGAAGGGACATTCACTTGGAATAATTTGACTCTTTTGTACTTGTCTTTGGCTACATTGGTAATTACAGTCAGAGCCAACGGTTTGATTTTATGACTGTCCGTGGAAACCCAGATGAAAAGAATTAATCGCTATCTCATTATCCCTTGAATATGGAGTAGCATAACTTTAGATGTTGTATTCTTTTGAGAAATTCCTTGGTCGTCCTTTACTTTATTCTTCAGCTACTGTGTTAATCCAATGTTTTGTTGTTGTTGTTGTTGTTTAAAAACTGTTTTCTTCATATTTTTTGCTTCTTTAGAATTACAGCATTTCGATTATGGATCACAAAGGCTTTTCTGTTATTTGACATACTCACGAATGTGGTAATTAAAACTGAAACTAGGGACCAGAAATCACAATTGTTTAATGTTAAGAAAAGCAGCAGGAAAATGCAATTAAGAGTACCTTTTGCAAGAAACCATCTTACATGGTGGATAGCAATCATTTCTGTGAGGCTAGTGGGCTGAATTGTGACAAATAAATATGTACTTTAAATATTAAAATATAATACTTGGTTCACAGGAGTCTGAATTATCATGAAATACTGGGAAACAGGATTTTCCAAAGTCTGCTTGAGTCATGGCTCTCTGAAAGAAGCCTATATAACTTGACTTAAACTTGTTTAGAAAGGTGATATCCCCTCCAAACATCATATTTTAATTGTAAAAAAAGCAATGATTAAGTGTGATCCTTTCATATAGGTTTTTCCTTAATCTATGAATAGTCACCTTAAAAATGAACACTGGTTTTGTCAGTTACTCATGGGCTGTGTCACGTCAAAAGTTTTACAATCGTCCTTTAGTGCTTGAGTGCAGAACCTCATCTATGTGTTGTAGATGGAACTTTGGAGGTTGCTTTATGGAAGTTTATCTAGTCCTCTTTTAAATGGGAAAACAAGCCTTTTGTAAGATATCACAGGATGAAGTTAAAGCCCATGTTGAGTTCAATTTCATTGTTGAATCTTTTATTCTAGACAAATTTGTAAAGAATTCCAGGACCTCTTGAGCCAAGATAGATCACCACTGGGGTCCTCCAGACCCACTCCGATCCTAGACCTTGACATCCAGAGACACTTAACACATTTCAGGTAAGACTGGTTTTCCAGTTTCCTCAGATTCTTTTTAAATTGTTAAACCATCTTTATGAACCCAGGCATTTTTACATTCATATCATAGTGCCGTTTAGAGATATCACTTATATATTTATATAGTGACTGACTGAATCTTTTGAAATTGCAAACATCTAAGATCAAATTATAAAAAAAACTAACACATGAAGCAGTTTAGATCAGAAAATCTAGTGTCTGTGCGATCTTCAGGAAATTCTGACTTTGAAAGTGAACACTATTGTTTCAAATAATAGTACTTTTGAATGAGGCTTCTGAAATCATTTAAATAGTTCTTTATCTTGGTGAGGCACATTGTTGAATGGACAGATGATATGACACAAATTAATGGGATATCATACACTGATATTACAGGCGTGTGTTAATTTCTGCCCAATTAGAAATTGCAAATGGTTCTTAAATTAGATCACACAAGTTTATTTTAAAGCTTCTGGAATGTGTTACTGAAAGCATATCCAAATTTTATTTTCTGAGATTCTTTGGAAGAGAATAGAATTTTTTTCTGGATATTTATGCTCTAGATGCAATGTGGAAAGGAATATATTAATTACTCGGATAATTTCCAGTTTTAAGACTCTAAAATTCTAATGCCTTACATGATATTTCTCATCAGTGTAAAAAACCACTTTATCCTCTTTTAGTTATTATCATTTAGTTTAAAAAACAATGCTAACAAAAGACTATTACACATTAAATTTTAAAATGTTTTCAGTACCTCTCACTGATTATACTGCTGTTGAGGAAGATACTCCATTATATATAAAAATGTGATTTAAATGAGTTGGAATTTTATCTGCAACATCAGAGGTTTTATATAGAATATCTTATTTTGTATAATGCCACAAGTCTCCTCAAGATGTAATAGATACATCTTTGAAGACTAAACTTAGGGTTTACCTTCTAAAAATGCACCACATGTACTAAACATATATTTTATGGGACTTTTTCTTACCACTCAGTTGGGTTACTGAAAGTGAATGTGATAAAACTGGTAGAAATGACAATGCCCAGAAGTTAAGAGAAAAAGGCTTTGGAGTAGAACGGTCTTCAAATCCAGACCCTGATACCCGTGAGCTGCGTTGTTTTGGGGTAACATGCGTTCTTTCCAAGCCTTGATTTCCCTAGCTTTAAATGGAATAAGAGCAGCAGCGTGGATGGAACTGGAAGGTATTATGCTGAGTGAAATAAGTCAGTCAGAGAAAGACAGATATCATATGTTTTCACTCATACATGGATCTTGAGAAACTTAACAGAAGACCATATGGGAGGAGAAGGGGAAAATAGTTTCAAACAGAGAGGGATAGAGACAAACCACAATAGACTCTTCAATACAGAGAAGAAACTGAGGGTGAATGGAGGGGTGGGGGAGATGTAAAATGGGTGATGAACACTGCGGAGAGCACTTGTTGGGATGAGCACTGGGTGTTGCGTGTAAACCAATTTGACAATAAATTATCTTAAATACAGTACAAAAAAAAAATAAATGAAATAAGAACCCTGCATTATATGGTGGTAGTGAGCTAAAGTGAGCTAATGATTATAGATATGGGTGCCAGGCTGGCTCAGTTGGTAGAGCATGCAACTCTTGATTTTGGGCTCATGAGTTCATGTTGGGTATAGAGCTTACTTTAAAAATAATGAAATAAAATAAAATAATGAATATAAAGTCAGCATTTAGTAATTAATGTACTGTTTACCACTGATCCAGGCTTAAAAGGTATGGTTTGCTCCACTATCATATCCATACAGATACATTTTTTCATTTTTTTAAGTTTATTTATTTATTTTGAGAGAGAGAGACTGGGGAAGGGGCAGAAAGAGAGAGGGGGTTACAGAGAATCCCAAGCAGGCTCCACACTGTCAGCTCGGAGCCTGAGGCAGGGCTTGAACCCGCAAACCCTGAGATCATGACCTGAGCTGAAATCAAGAGTCAGAAAGTTAACCAACCGAGTCACTCTGGTGCCTGAATAATTTTCATATTTTTATTTGTGCACACGCTAAAGATATTTGTAATTTTTATAGAAGTTCAAATTCAGAGCTTAAGAATAATTTTCATACAAATTCAATTCTCAATTTAAGGAAGTTTGTTAAGTTACCAATATACTCTAAAGAAGCACATACTGTTAAAACTTGGACAATTCAGGGGCGCCTGGGTGGCTTAGTCGGTTAAGCATCCGACTTTCGCTTAGGTCATGATCTCGCGGTTCATGGGTTCGAGCCCCGAGTCGGACTCTGTGCTGACTGCCAGCTCAGAGCCTGGAGGCTGTTTCAGTCTGTGACTCCCTCTCTCTCTGACCCTCCCCTGCTCATGCTGTCTCTCTCTCTCTCTCTCTCTCCTAGAAATAAATAAAACATTAAAAAATTAAAAAAAAAAAAACTTGGACAATTCAGATTTCATATCATGGCTACCAGGTTATTTGCAGTTACAGGTGCCACAGCCTTCATCAGACAGTGAACTGTCCTTTTTCAGGCTCAAAGCAAAATATAGCATCAATGTGTAAATTGAATATTAGTGACAGTATGAAATAAATAGACAAACCATTTGTTTACTTAGCATAGGCACAGTCTGCTAGTTTGTTGATACTTTAGTATATTGCCAACTTAATGTCACAGAACTCCTTATAGAAAACTGTCACCTCTAAACTTGAGCTGAATGTTTCCTACATGGGTTTTTGTATGCTCTTATTTACCTTTCCTCAAGCAGACTATGGTAATAAGCTAGTCCGGTGTTGCCCAGGGAAGAGCTAAATATATTGAAAATTCCTCCCCCCATCCTCAGCAAAAAGAAGGCATTATATTTTGAGTGTAAAACTCTCAAGATTATGTATAGCTACAGATTCTCAATCACAATAATTTGAAATGCATAGCCGTACCTTAAAACAATTTAACACCACAGGGTATATCTATTTATACAAGTATCATCTTGTTGTTAACAAAATTAACAATTTTGTTAATATAACTTATATATTGAGTATTTTGTTATCAGAAAGTTGTGATTTCCTATTTCTTTATTTATTGGGAGAAAGAGAGAGAGGGAGAGAAAGAGAGAAAGAGAGAGAAAGAATCCCAAGCAGGCTCAACACTAATAGCGTTCCATCTCACGAATGATGAGGACATGACCTAAGCCAAAATCAAGAGTCACTTAACCAGGTGAGCCCCACAGGTGCTCCTAAGATTTCCTATTTATTGTGCCTTTCTAATATTTGTTAGATTTTTCATTTACTTTGCTTTAACTACATTCTAGATCACTTATTTTGATGAGATCTTGTGATTTCATAATGGAAGGTAGAAGGATAATAGAAATCACTTAACTAAAATTTGCTTTATAGCAAACTTCTTAGATTATATCTTTTTTATTGTGATAAAAAGCACTTAATGTAGGGCTGCCTGGGTGGCTTAGTCCGTTAAGCGTCCGACCTTGGCTCAGGTCATCATCTCTGATTTCATGAGTTCAAGCTCCGCATGGGGCTCTATGCTAACAGCTCAGATCCTGGAGCCTGCTTTGGATTTTGTGTCTCCCTGTCTCTCTGATAGTCTCCCACTCATGCTCTGTCTCTCTCTCTCAAAAATAAATAAACATTAAAAAGTATTTTTTAAAAAGCTCTTATTGTAAGTTTTACCATCTTAACCATTTCTAAATGTATAGTTTAGCAGTGTTAAATATATACACATTGTGGGGTGCCTGGGTGGCTCAGTTGGTTAAGCGTCCAACTTCAGCTCAGGTCATGATCCCCTGGTTCATGGGTTCAAGCCCCGCATTGGGTTCTGTGCTGACAGCTCTGTGCTGGCAGCTCAGAACCTACAGCCTGTTTCGGATTCTGTATCTCCCTCTCTCTCTGTCCCTCCCCACTCATGTTGTATCTCTGTCTCAAAAATAAATAAACTAATATATATATAAAAAAAAAAACACACACACACACACACACACATTGTTGGGCAACAAATCCCCAGGACTTTTTCATTTTGCAAACCTGAAACTTGATAACCATTAAACAATTCCCCATTTCCCCCTCCCCGTAGCCCCTGGCAACTACCATTCTACTTTCTGTCTCTGTGACTTTGACCATTCTAGAAGCCTCATATAAGTGGAATCATACAGTATGTCTTTTTGTGACTAGTTTATTTCACTTAGTATAATGTTCTCAAGGTTCATCTGTGTTGTACTGTGTGTTAAATGTCCTTCCTTTTGAGGCTGAATAATACTCCATTGTATGTATATGCCGCATTTGGCTTATCTATTCATTAATGGATACGTGGGTTACTTCTATCCCTTGGCTATTGTGAATAGTACTGCTATGAATATGGGTATGCAGGGGCACCTGGGTGGCTCATTTGGTTAAGTGTCCGACTTCAGCTCAGGTCATGATCTCATAGTTCATGGGTTTGAGCCCCTCGTTGGGTTCTGTGCTGACAGCTCAGAGCCTGGAGCCTGTTTCAGATTCTGCGTCTCCCTCTCTGACCCTCCTCTGCTCATGCTGTCTTTCTCTCTCTCTCAGAAATAAAAAACGTTTTAAAAAATAAAAAAAGAATATGGGTATGCAAATATCTGTTTGAGATATTGCCTTCAATTCTTTGGGACATAAACCCAGAAGTAGAATTACTATATGATATAGTAATTTTTAATTTATTTTTTATTTTTTGAGAAACTGCCATAGACTAATAATTTATGAGAGAGATTTTATCATACAGGATTAAGCAGAGTACAGGTAATGACCTTGGGTAGTTATGAAAATGCTTTTATCTTTCTATTCAAGGTACTTAGCACACAGAATGTGCCCAATAAATACGTTAATTCTTTCTCACAGTGGCTGCACTGTTTTACATACCTACCAACAGAGCACAAGGGTTCTAATTCCCCCACATCCATGCCAGTACTTATTATTTACTATTTTTGTTTTTGTTTTCGATAGCGGCTATCCTAATGGGTATGAGGTAATGTCTCATTGTGGCTTTGATTTGCA